GCCTGTTGGGGAGGGAGAGCTCGGCTGCGTGGATTCACGCCTGACATGCTGGTGGTCTCGGGGCAGAGAGGAGCTGTGGTGTCTTTTTTGGGTCACATGCGTGGGACAAGGCTCATGGGCTGGCTATGAAAGTGCTAATGGGGTCCTGCAGCTTGATGAGGACCAAGCAGACCGGAGGGATGCTGAGGGCAGGGTCGTGGAGTAGAATGGAGATGGGATTCCACCAGGGAGAGCATCGGGAGGAGAAATGCAATCAGCTGGGATAATCCAGCTGCGGGGCTGGGTGGGAGCAGCTTGGTGGTAGCAGAGCACCCTCCTTGTCCTGGGTCACCCCAGGCAGGGCCAGGATTTGTCCCAAGGTAGGTGGCTGTGCTGTCTGCCCTCTCCCCATCCTGCACCCCCCAGGTTGTAGAAATGCCTCGATACCAGAGGCCGTGGGAAAACGGGAATCTTCCCTCGCAGGTGGGAGGGCTGAGCAACCTGGGCTCATTTTGCCCGGCACGGCTGAAGGCTGGAAGGGGGGTAGGGTGCAGCAACATGTCGAGTGGGCAGGAACGCCCAGGAGGAAAAAGAGTGATTTATTGTGCAGGACAGAGTGCGTGGGCACAAGGAAAATGGGAATAAGCTCACCATGACTGCATCCCCTCGGGGCTCTGCAGGAACCCAGTCCTGCCAGGTCCCCCTCTGTGGAGAAACAAGGGCAAGGAGTAAACTGCCTTTAACATCTTGATCAGCAGAGACTCGCGTGATGCTGCAGCTTGTTGGTCCAGCATTAGACCTCTCCTCTCCTGGGGCCCTAGCAACGCACGGCAGGAGGAATAAGTCTCACTGTCTGGGCTCTTTTCTTGCCGTAGTTGGTCCATATGCTGCCAGGACAGCAGATGGATGGGTGGCACCTATGATGCAGTGACCTCCTGAAGTCACGGTGATGGAGGAGGCTCCTGGGGCTCTGGAGAGTTAACTCTTGGTCACTTGTGGAGAGGGACAGGAGCCCTCAGCATCAAGAGCTGAAAGCCTGGTGGAGTTGCAGGTTGCCTCACGGCAACACAGAGTGTGGTGGGATAATTCCCACAAATGAATGTGCATATAAATAGACATTCAGTTCAGCAGAGAGGGGGTGGGAGGGATTTCGAGGGTTGCCTGTGCTTCTGCAGGTCTGCGTGGGGAACTGGAAGGTGGGCAAAGGATGGACAGGAGCAAGCTGAATTTGCAATAGCAAAGGGGAGTTGGGTGAAGCCTCCCAGAGTGAGGATAATGTGGTAGAGATGGAGGTTTCAAATGGATTGGCTATCCCTTTTTTAGGAAGGAGGGAGAGACAGTTGGGCTGGAGCAGGGTGTAGGGCTGCAGGGTCTCCTCGGTGCCGTGATCAGGGTGTGGGTGTCTGCACCCCTCTCCCCCCCGCACACGCCGGTGCAGGACCGGTCCCGGTCTTGCTGAGACCCACTTCCACCCCTCTGCCCTCCCATTGCCTCAGCTCAGTGCTCTAAAAATCACCGAGAGCTTCAGAAAGGAGGGTGCCAGGGGAAATCAGGGCTGGCTTGCATGTGGGTGAGGTTATTCGCCCCGGGGCGGGCAGCAGCTTGCCAGCGCCGGCTTCCCTGAGCAGCACTCCTGTCTGCTCCCCGCTGCAGCTGCCGGCATTTCCCTCAGCTTCTCTCTGCACCTTTATCTGCTGAAACCGCTTCGGAGAGATCTTTCCGGGGTTGGGACCAGCGGGTGCTTTTGCTGGCAGAC